GAGCTCTTCGTACTGCAATCTCTTTCCTGGGTATTGGACCAGACTGAAGTTTAGTATCTGTGACGGTGCTAGTGATCTGGACTAACCAGCTGCCGGTGATTCTGGACTAACCAAGCTGCCGGTGATCTGGACTTAACCAGCTGCCGGTGATCTGGACTAACAGCTGCTGCCTTGTAGCTTCTTATTTAACTCAACAGACAGAGTTTTGACATCATCCTTTTTAAGTCACGTGTGTTAAATGAAAAATGTATAAATACGTCACTGTATTAAAATATAAATATGTCTGTTATAGAGTCCAACCGCTGTGGGTCGTTCATGGACGTCCTGTTCTCTGAACACAAGAGGAACCCTCAAAACAAAAGATTCACATGGTTCTCAGTTCAGGTTCTGAGAGGAAACCGATGAGTCTGTAAACGAACAGTAGACAGTACTTTTAGACTTGAAAAGTCTGGCTAGGACGTTGCCCTCAGATTTCCTGCCTCCTCATCGGACTTCTCAGGCTCTGCAGAAGAAAACATGGAGGTTCAACAACGACCTGCACCGCACTTGTCATCACTGTTAACCAGCCCGTTAAACTAGTTTGAACTAAAGCCGAGTGTGACTAGAGGAATGCTGGAGAGGAAAGTATGGAAGGGGGTGTGTGTGTGGTGTGTGTGTGTGGTGTGTGTGTGTGTTGTGTGTGAGTGAGTGTGTGTGTGTGTGAGTGTGTGTGAGTGTGGTGTGTGTGAGTGTGTGTGTGTGTGTGTGCATTCTGTGTGTGAGGTGTGTTGTGTGTGTGTTGTTGTGTTGAGTGAGTGTGTGGTGTGTTGTGAGTGTGTTGTGTGTGTGTGTGAGTGTGTGTGTGTGAGGAGTGTGTGTGTGTGTGTGTTGTGGAGAGTGTGTGTGTGTGGACTGTGTGTGTGTGTGAGTGTGTGTGTGTGTGTGTGTTGAGTGTGTGTTGTGAGAGTGTGTTGTGTGTGACTGTGTGTGTGTGTGTGCAGTGAGGTGTGTGTTGTGTGTGTGTGTTGTGTGTCTGTGAATTGTGTTATGTGTGAGATGTGTGTGTGTGTGACTGGTGTGTGTGGTGTGTGCGTGAGGTGGTGTGTGGTGTGTTCTGTGTGTGTGTGTGTGTGTTGACTGTGTGTCTGTGTGTGTGTGACTGTGTACTGTGTGTGTGTGTGTGGTGAGTGGTGAGTGTTGTGTTGTGTGTGTGTGTCTGTGTGTGTGTGTGTGTGTTGTGTGTGTTGTCTGTGTGTGAGTGTGTGTGTGTGAGAGAGTGTGAGTGTGAGTGTGTGATGTGTGTTGTGTGAGAGAGTGTTTGCGTGAGTGTGTGTGTTGTGTGTGTGGTGCAGTAATGCCAACAGACCAAACAGTTGATCAGAAAGGAATTCCTAGCGGTCATTTACGTCTGCATAGAATTGAAAACATATTGTGTGTGTGTGTGTTATGAGTGAGTGTGTGGCTGTGTGAGTGAATCGTGACGTTGAGTGAGTGAGTGAGTGAGTTGAGTGAGTGAGTGAGTGAGTGTTGTGTGTGTGTGTGTGTGTGTTGTGTGTGTGTGTGTGTGTGTGTGTGAAGTGTGTGTTCACTTTATGACCCCATTGTCACGCTAAACGCTTTAGCATGGACCCCCCCCGTCAGGACGTCTTGGGAAATTTGAACCTGTTGACTTTTTCTACTTTTCTTCCAGCAGAAACTTTTCAAACCAAATTCAAACAGTAGAAATCTTCTTCACTTCATTTTCATTCCTTTCACCCACCCATCAAACCTTTCATCCATCCACCCACCCATCCATCCTTTCATCCATCCACCATCCATCAATTCATCCTTTCATCCATCCACCCATCAGCTGGAATGTGGGACCCTGCAGATCTCCGTCTCCCCTGTGTCTCTCTCTTTAAACCCTTTATGTAACTGTGTGAATGTGAAGTATTTATAAGAGATTTCAGCTGCTGGAGCTCAGTGAACTCTACAGTGACAAACTGGCCGAGAGACACCCACACACACAGAGACTGGGAGAGAGAGAGGGAGAGAGCAAAGGAGAGAGAGAGACAGAGACTGGGAGAGAGAGAGGGAGAGAGCAAAGGAGAGAGAGAGGGAGAGAGAGAGAGAGAGAGAGAGAGAGACAGAGAGAGAGAGAGAGAGAGAGAGAGAGAGAGAGAGAGACAGAGAGAGAGAGAGAGAAAGAGAGAGAGGGTTACAGTCTTTAATCTGCAGTTACATAAAAACACTTCAATGATTTCAGACTCAGAAAGTGATGTGGAGTCAGTTTGATGTAACTCTACTGTCCCTTCTGTGTTTCTACTGTCTCTACTCTGTATCTACTCTGTCTCTACTGTATATACTGTCTCTACTCTTTATCTACTCTGTCTACCTTTCATCCATCCACTATCTACTGTCTCTACTGTCTCTACTCTGTATCTACTCTGTCTCTACTGTATATACTGTCTCTACTGTATATACTGTCTCTAATTTGTCTCTACTGTCTCTACTGTATCTACTGTCTCTACTCTGTCTCTACTGTATATACTGTCTCTACTGTATATACTGTCTCTAATTTGTCTCTACTGTCTATACTGTCTCTACTTTGTCTCCACTGTCTCTACTGTATCTACTGTCTCTACTCTGTATCTACTCTGTCTTTCCTGTATATACTGTCTCTACTGCATCTACTCTGTATCTACTGTCTCTACTGTATCTACTGTCTTTACTCTGTATCTACTCTTTCTCTACTGTATATACTGTCTCTACTCTGTATATACTCTGTCTCTACTGTATCTACTGCCTCTACTCTGTCTCTACTGTCCCTACTCTAGCTCTACTTTGTCTTTACTGTCCTTACTGTCTTTACTCTGTATCTCCTCTGTCTCTACTGTTTCTACTCTGACTCTACTCTGTATTTACTCTCTCTACTCTGTCTCTTCTTTGTCTATACTGTCTCTTCTCTGTTGCTACTGTATCTACTGTCCCTACTCTGTCTCTACTGTATCTTCTGTCTCTACTGTCTCTTCTCTGTCTCTACTGTCTCTACTTTGTCTGTACTGTCTTTACTCTGTATCTACTCTGCCTCTACTCTGTCTCTACTGTCCCTACTCTATCTCTACTGTCTCTACTTTGTCTGTACTGTCCTTACTGTCTTTACTCTCTATCTCCTCTGTCTCTATTGTCTCTACTCTGTATCTACTCCGTCTCTACTCTGTACTTACTCTGTCTCTACTCTGTCTCTTCTCTTTCTATACTCTGTCTCTACTGTATCTACTGTCCCTACTCTGTCTCTACTCTGTCTCTACTCTGTCTCTACTGTCTCTACTTTGTCTGTACTGTCTTTACTCTGTATCTACTCTGTCTCTACTCTGAATCTACTGCCCCTTCTCTGTCTCTACTCTGTCTGTACTGTATGTAGCTGTGGAGCTGGGGACTTGACAGGTGAAGCATTCTGGGAAACAGAGTTTGACTCTATATCAGAACGTGAGATTGAATGTGGTGCGTTTGAGTGACTGAATATTCATGTATTTCACAGGCGTCATATTTCAAACTCACAGAACCTCTGAAACCTCCTGATTTGTTCTGATATCAGCAGGAGGAGGAGTCACAGTGTCCCACAGAGCCGAGACAATAATCTATAGATCTGGACTCAAAAACAACCCATACCAAACTGATCAATATCATTGGTTAATCAGGTGATACTGATGTAGATACGAAGCAGGATGTGATCCACACTGGGACACTGAAGATGACATCACAGTGACATCAGAGAGCATGATGAAGAGGAAGTGGAGTCTGACAACAACAAAGTGAAGCAGCAGAGAGGAGCAGCGAGGAGGTGAGAGGAGGTGAGAGGAGGTGAGAGGAGCAGAGAGGAGCAGAGAGGAGCAGAGAGGAGGTGAGAGGAGCAGAGAGGAGCAGAGAGGAGCAGAGAGGAGGTGAGAGGAGCAGAGAGGAGCAGAGAGGAGCAGAGAGGAGCAGAGAGGAGGTGAGAGGAGCAGAGAGGAGCAGAGAGGAGGTGAGAGGAGCAGCGAGGAGCAGAGAGGAGCAGAGAGGAGGTGAGAGGAGCAGAGAGGAGCAGAGAGGAGGAGAGAGGAGCAGAGAGGAGCAGAGAGGAGGTGAGAGGAGCAGAGAGGAGCAGAGAGGAGGTGAGAGGAGCAGAGAGGAGCAGAGAGGAGGAGAGAGGAGGTGAGAGGAGCAGAGAGGAGGTGAGAGGAGCAGAGAGGAGGTGAGAGGAGCAGAGAGGAGCAGAGAGGAGGTGAGAGGAGCAGAGAGGAGCAGAGAGGAGGTGAGAGGAGCAGAGAGGAGCAGAGAGGAGGTGAGAGGAGCAGAGAGGAGCAGAGAGGAGGTGAGAGGAGGTGAGAGGAGCAGAGAGGAGCAGCGAGGAGGTGAGAGGAGGTGAGAGGAGCAGAGAGGAGCAGAGAGGAGGTGAGAGGAGCAGAGAGGAGCAGAGAGGAGCAGAGAGGAGCAGAGAGGAGGTGAGAGGAGCAGCGAGGAGCAGAGAGGAGCAGAGAGGAGCAGAGAGGAGCAGAGAGGAGCAGAGAGGAGCAGAGAGGAGGAGAGAGGAGCAGAGAGGAGCAGAGAGGAGGAGAGAGGAGCAGAGAGGAGCAGAGAGGAGCAGAGAGGAGCAGAGAGGAGCAGAGAGGAGGAGAGAGGAGCAGAGAGGAGCAGAGAGGAGGAGAGAGGAGCAGAGAGGAGCAGAGAGGAGGAGAGAGGAGCAGAGAGGAGGTGAGAGGAGGTGAGAGGAGCAGAGAGGAGCAGAGAGGAGGTGAGAGGAGCAGAGAGGAGCAGAGAGGAGCAGAGAGGAGCAGAGAGGAGCAGAGAGGAGCAGAGAGGAGCAGAGAGGAGCAGAGAGGAGCAGAGAGGAGCAGAGAGGAGCAGAGAGGAGCAGAGAGGAGCAGAGAGGAGCAGAGAGGAGCAGAGAGGAGCAGAGAGGAGCAGAGAGGAGCAGAGAGGAGGTGAGAGGAGCAGAGAGGAGCAGCGAGGAGCAGCGACGAGGTGAGAGGAGAAGCGAGGAGCAGAGAGGAGCAGAGAGGAGCAGAGAGGAGCAGAGAGGAGCAGAGAGGAGGTGAGAGGAGCAGAGAGGAGCAGCGAGGAGCAGCGACGAGGTGAGAGGAGAAGCGAGGAGCAGAGAGGAGCAGAGAGGAGCAGAGAGGAGCAGAGAGGAGCAGAGAGGAGCAGAACCTCTTTGACCTTTTCAAAATCAGCAGCTGAAAAGTTTCTTTTCCACAGAAACAAAAGTCAAACCGACCCAGAGAAACACAGTGACGCATCTTTGATCTGCAGCCAGACCAGTGCCGAGCGTCTGCCAGCAGACACATTCCTCACAATCCCACTTCCTGAAAAACGCCCCCAAAACCACCAAACCTCCCCCAGCCGACTCCTCCCTACCTCCTCCCCCCGTCTCCCCCCTCAGGTATTCACCACGTCTGGATATTTGAGACCAACCTCACCCAGCCAGCACAGAGCACACAATAACCTTCATTCAGACCGTGTGTGTGTGTGTGTGTGTGTGTGTGTGTGTGTGTGTATAAACACACAGCTGGTGCCTCCTGCTTTCCTTCACATTATCATCATCTCTCAGAGACTCTCAGTCTCTGAGGAGAATAAACTCTGACTCCTTTATCTGCCGTAACAGTAAGGTCAAAGGTCAGAGGTCACAGCATCATGACAGCAGCAGGAACAGAGAGAGGTGAGTCTCTGTTCCACAGGTAAGAAATCCTCATTCAGAATTCTAATAAGTAAAGTAAAGTAAAATAAATAAAAATTCAGTCTTGGAACATGTTTGTCCTCTGGTTTTTCTCCATGTGACTCCGTGTGATCACTTTTCAATAAACAATATAATCAGATTATTTATTGAATATTTCTGTTTTTAATCCTCTTCACTGGCTCAGTCAGTCTCTACCTGCAGCTTCAGGTGTAAACACTCTGATTATTTTGAACTAGATTTCCCGCCTCCTGGTTGCTTCCTCAGTAAACATGGTCTCAGTCACTCCAGTCACACAGATGAATAATGACCAGAGGTGTTTTTACAGGACATTATGATGTTGACCTTTGACCTTTTGGATATAAAATGTCATCAGATATTTGAGTTAAACTTTGTCAAAATGACTGAATGAATTCATGAGTTATTCTTTGCATTCAACATGAGGGCACTGCGATCTTGACCTTTGACCTTTGACCACCAAAATCTAATCAAATCATCCTTGAGTCCTAGTGAATGTTTGTGCAGAATTAGAAGTTCCCTCCAGTTACTGAGATATCATGAGACTGAGACGGACGGACGACCTGAAAACAAGATGTCTCCGGTAACTCAGAGGAACAGGAAGGACATCATGAACGGGTCTCACCTCGACGCTCTCCAGAGACGTGGACCGCCTCAGTTTGGCTCTGCGGACGCCGGCCGGTGACGAGTCCGTGGCCTCGGTCCTGGACGGTGGCGAGTCCTCCGAGTCGCAGGTCAGCGCGGCGCCATATTTACTGTCAGGACGGGAGCGTCGGCCGTAGCGCTTGGTCCCCTTCACGAACTTCGGCTTCACCTCCTCTGGAACGACTGCGGAGAGCGGGAAAGTGATGGAGGGACTGACTGACAGGTTGTATGTACGTCAGAGAAGAGAGAGAGAAGAGGAGCCACAAACTAGAAGCTAATTAATGACTGGAGTCTGACACAGCCTGAGACCAGGACCAGGACCTGACACAGCCTGAGACCAGGACCAGAACCTGACACAGCCTGAGACCAGGACCAGGACCTGACACAGCCTGAGACCAGGACCAGGACTCCTCCAACACACTGATGGTTTCTACACACACTTCCTTCAGCTTAATGAAAATCGACCTGAGACTGAAACTGCTTCATCAAATGTTCCCAATTGTTTCTCAGTGACTGAAAGTTGAACAATCATCAAACGTCTCAGCTGTGACGTGAATCACGTGAACTTCTTCTCTTATCATTTGTGTGTTGTGTGTATATGATCACACCTTTTATTTTTGGTTCTCACTCCCTGACTTTACATGTAGTGGATGTTGATTCTGACGGTACAAACAAGTGCAACACTTCTCCTAACCCTAACCCCATATGATGTATATATTCATATAGTATATTTTAACTATCACCTCTCAACAGTAGTGGTTCATATCCTACTATAAGGACATATTTTTATATCTATCTTTATAATCTTGCTTCTTATTCTCTATTCTTTGTTGTATTCTGATCTGATATAAATAATGTAATGTTTTCTATTTTTAAGGTTATATGTCTTCACTTTGCATCTGTTCTTCATTGGGATCAATAATGTTGATCTTTATTGTCTAAAAAAGTTTTTTATTAACCTCAAAATCACAAATAAATGTTTAAAGCTCCATGTTTCTTCTTCTTCTGTGTTTTATTTGAAGTGTTGATCCATCAGAAGATATAAAACGCATCTCAGTGTAGTTTCACATCTCCTCTCTCAGGCTTCTCTCTGGAGCTCTAGTAACAACAGGTCTGTGAGCCAATCAGAAGAGAGGAGGCTCTGAGCCTCTCTTCTGATTGGCTTGCTGTTTTCTGAGTGATCCAATAAAAATAAAGCAGATTTCAGGTAAAAACACTCAGAGAAACCAAATCCTGCAAGGTTTGGATGGTGGGTCCAGGTGGGCGGGGCTTGGTGACTGCTTTGTTGTGACATCACAAAGTTCCAGAAGTCCTGACGGCTGGTTTTAAGGCTCAGTTTCTGAATACAGGCTGTGTGCATTTCTCTGTGGACTGAGGCTTTGATACTTTCACAGTATTAATATAGAAGCTAGAGCTGATCTATAATCACACTACACATGGACACAGACCTTTACACTGGAGGAGCTTTAATGTTTCAGTATTGTGTCATATATACACATCCACCTCTGCTCAGCCCAGAGGTTAGTGTGAACTCTGACCCACATTAACCACAATAAAGAAATGAAACAATAATCTACATATAATTTATCACATTTAACAACAACAGAATAAATCAGATAGTCTTTGTTTTAGATCAAAATAAAAGTGAAGAGTTTGATCTGTACCTTTTGTCTGTGACATGTGCTCCAGAAATAAACTTTGCTTTGCTTACAGTATTGAAATAAATCTTTAGTGAGCAGCACGGCATCTTATCTTCCTGCTGCGACTGTTATCAATCCACAGTGAACACCACACTGATCAATACAGATTCAATACTGATCAGCCACACACTGAGCATCTCTATCACACTGTCCCGCGTGTGTGTGTGTGTGTGTGTGTGTGTTTGTGTATGTTTGTGTGTGTGTGTGTGTGTCTCTAGTTTTTGTTGCAAGTGTGTGTGTGTGTGTGTTGTGTTGTGTGTGTGTCTGTGTGCATGTGTTGTGTGGTGTGTTTGTGTCTGTGTGCTGTGATGTGTGTGTGTGTGCTGTGTGTGTCTTGTGTTGTGTGTGTGTGTGTGTTGTGTGTGTGTGTTGTGCTGTGCATGTGTGTGTGTGTGTGTGTGTGTGTCGTGTGTGTGCTATGTGTGTGTTGTGTGTGTTGTGTGTGTTCTGTGTGCATGGTGTTGTGTGTGTGTGTGTGTGTGTGTGTGTGTGTCTGAAGAGAAAATTTATATAAAATGATGAAAATCTTATATTTTCTTTGTCTGAACATTTCCATTGTGAACCTTGAGTCCCACCCCCTCATGTCTCTCACCTGGCTCCAGGTAGCTGCTGTCGTCCTCTGATGTGCTGAAGTCCAGGGAGCGAGACAGGACGGCGACAAAGCCTTCTTTAAACTCCTCAAAGTTCACCTGAGGAACAAACACAGAGATTTACTGTATTCACTGAACTATTCACTGGCAGAACAGCTGTAAACACAAAGTCTGAAATATTATCAGGTTGTTAAGTTGTTGTCTAATATGTGATCAAACAGCACAGTTCCCTCTCTTTTAGCTCTGTGTTTGGTCTCCACCATGTTCACCAGCTGCTCTCTGACTGTCTGTCTTCTCTCTGCTGCTCGGCAGGTAGAGGACAGACAGGTGGAGGACAGACAGGTGGAGGACCGGCAGGTAGAGGACAGACAGGTAGAGGACAGACAGGTAGAGGACAGGCAGGTAGAGGACAGACAGGTGGAGGACAGACAGGTAGAGGACCGGCAGGTAGAGGACAGGCAGATAGAGGACAGACAGGTAGAGGACAGGCAGGTAGAGGACAGACAGGTAGAGGACAGGCAGGTAGAGGACAGGCAGGTAGAGGACAGGCAGGTAGAGGACAGACAGGTAGAGGACAGGCAGGTAGAGGACAGACAGGTGGAGGACAGACAGGTGGAGGACAGGCAGATAGAGGACAGACAGGTGGAGGACAGGCAGGTGGAGGGCAGGCAGGTGGAGGACAGGCAGATAGAGGACAGACAGGTGGAGGACAGGTAGGTGGAGGACAGACAGGTAGAGGACAGACAGGTGGAGGACAGGCAGATAGAGGACAGGCAGGTGGAGGACAGAGGTGAAAACACCGAACTCCAAAACTAGGAGCTAAAAGAGGCTGAAAAGCCACAGAGCTGCAGAGATGTTGAGAGTTGGTCATTAACATTTCTTGAAGTCATTCAAATTAATTAATTAATTAATTAATTCAAGGGCATTTTAAGGCCCAGTTAATGACAGTATTCAGATAATGAGCTTGTGTTAAAGTGCTATTAAAACTACAGGTCCTGTACTCGCTGTTGCTTTAAATCAAAGTTAAGCTCTGTGTGACCTAACAGCTGAGGCTCTTTGAGTCTCTCTACACCGTCCTGTCAGAGAAGTAACTTAAAAACTCAAAGTTAGCATGAGGGAAAGAATTTAAAGAGCTAAACACAGACAAAGGTCAGAGCTTCACTGCTGAAAGGTTTTACTCTGACGACATCTCTCTGTCTGGATTTGGTCTTTTATCTGTTGAGGCTGAAAACTAAAGGGGACGGAGGGTTTGCTGTCGGGCCTCGAGGCTCTGGGACGATCTGCCAGAGGAAATCAGGTCGACTGAGTCTGTGACCTCCTTTAAATCCCTTTCATCAGAGATCTTCCCCTCAAGTGTTTTATTTCTCTTAACTCTGTGTTGGTTTTATTCCTGTTTTTCTTCTTTCAAACTCCTTGATTTCATGTGTCATGTATCCTTTTTTGCTGCTTGTGTCAAACACTTTGTGACGTGGATTTACTCTGTAAATAAAGATGGTAATTATCTGCATTAACACACAGTGACAGTTCAGAGGTCTTAGTCCAGCAATGGCCGACTGAAACGCCGTCTCTCACCCTGGCGTAGGTGCGTTCGCCCAGCAGTGTGTCCAGCAGCAGCGGCAGGTGAGCGTCCAACTGCAGCTTCTGGCAGAGCGCCGTCAGCTCGTCTCTGTCCAGGAAGCCGGTGGCTGTCGTGTCGCAGCTGTCGAACTCCGCCTTCAGCTGGGCGACGTAGTGAGTGTGCTCCGCCTCCTCCATCCCGACGCATCACGCTGCAACAGCTTCACCTGGAGAACAAACACACAGGAAACACTGAGGCAGAGTTTCACTCAGGACTCTCAGGAGACAAGGCGAGACAAGAAAAGATGAGAAGACACAAGATGAGAAGAGATTAAACGAGATGTGACAAGAGGAGACGAGATGAAACGTGACGAGATGAGAAGAGATTAGACGAGATGAGACAAGAGGAGACGAGATGAGACAAGAAGAGATGTAACAAGATGAGACGAGGTGAGAAGAGATGACACGTGACGAGATGAGACAAGATGAGAAGAGATGAAAAGTGACAAGAGGAGACGAGATGAAACGTGACGAGATGAGAAGAGATGAGACGTAACGAGATGAGACGAGATGAGACAAGATGAGACGAGAGGAGATGTAACGAGATGAGACGAGGTGAGAAGAGATGAAAAGTGACAAGAGGAGATGAGATAAAACGTGACGAGAGAAGATGAGATAAGAAGACATGAGACAAGATGAGACGAAACATGACGAGATGAGACGAGGTGAGAAGAGATGAAAAGTGACAAGATGAGACGAGGTGAGAAAATATGAGAAAAGATGAGACGAGATGAGACGAAAAGTGACGAAGTGAGAAGAGATGAGACAAGATGAGAAGAGACGAGATTAGACGTGACGAGATGAGACAAGATGAGACGAGACGTAACGAGATGAGTCGTGATGAGAAGAGACGAGATGAAACGAGATGAGACAAGATGAGAAAAGACGTGACGAGAAGAGATGAGACGAGATGAAACGTGGCAAAATGAGACGATGAGACGTAATGAGAAGAGACGAGATGAGACGAGATGAAACATGACAAGATGAGACAAGATGAAAAAAGATGAGACGAGATGAAACGAGACGAGATGAGATGAGATGAGATCAGCATCCAGTTCATCACCTAGAACCCTGGCCTGGTCTTGACAGTATGTGTCAAATAGAACCTCCTCTGCAGCTCGGTTTATCTGTGGTGTTACATTTAATTATCATATTATATAATCTAATATTATCATTGTTCATATGTTTAAGTTTTTAAGAAAAAGCTAGTACGTGATGTAGTAGGTAAGTTCAAAAACTGACGTTAGTATAGTGTTTCATAGAAAGATCAAGAAATCTCTTCAACAGTTTGCTCTGCGTCTGATCAGTAAATATTGATTGTTTGATCAGTAAATATTGATCTGTGTATTATCTGACTGTAGTTTTCAGCCTCCTGTCTAAACAGCAGCTGTAGAACAAAGTGGAACCACCTTCTCTCCGGGGGTTTGCTCCTGTCTAATGGATGAACTCCAGAAATGTCTCAGATTGCTGAAATATTTCCTGCTATCAGACGCTGTGAGGAGTCAACATGATGTTATCAGCTGAGAGGAGAAACAGTCTGTCACAGAGTGGAGACTTTCTGTTTTGTTGTTGATTTCAGCAGCTGGAAACATCTGCCCCTCCTCCCCCTGTGTCTGTTATATCATCAGTAATCTGCGCTCATCAGTTCACCATCATCTTCATCAGTTTCCCTGCACACAGCCACACTGACCTTCCTCAGCTGGACACTGAAAGACCTTCATTTCTGATGTAACATACTGAGCTGTCATTGTTAACAGAATATTTTACTGTATCTTACTCTGTGTCTCTGTATCAGCTTTTATTTTACTAATCCCTGTTGTCATTTCCTGTTGTCAAACCTCAACACACAGTGAACTGTGGAGCTGAAAAACTGTCAACTATCAAACTAAAATCACAAAAAGTCACTACAGCTTCACTTTTCTCTCTTTATAATAATGAAGTGAATTTTTAAGAGACAAAGTATAAATATAAATACAACTGTGATGGAGAATTCTCACTATATTACTGACATTTTAAGTAAATATTCAATTATCTGAGAAAATAATTGGCAAATAAATCAATAATAAAAACAGCTCTATTAGACAGTTAAAACATAAACATATCAATATAATTACAGCAGCATGAAATTAAAAAAATATGGTTTAAATAAGGGAATATCTGAAGTGAAGAAGTGAAGACTCGTCTGACTAAACATTAATGTATCAGTGGACACTCCATATTTATCTGTATAATCAGTGATGAACAGTTTGTAACAGCAGATCTCTGTGGTTATTAATTATTAAATATATATTAGTTATTAATGACTCTAACGTCATTTTCTCTTGACTCATTCTAACTGCTCCTCTTCAGTGTTTAAATATCCATATATACACACACATATATATATAAAATGTTTTCATGCAAAACTGTACACACCATGTATACATCATAAACTGAACCTGAATAAACACATTTTACTTCCCTTCCTGGTCTATTGTGTCCCTTTGTCTTCGATACATGACACTTTGTGCTCATTCTGCATCCCTCTGTGCTCATTCTGCATCCCTCTGTGCTCATCTTATATCCCTCTGTGCTCATTCTGCATCCCTCTTTGCTCATCTTATATCCCTCTGAGCTCATGTTATATCCCTCTGAGCTCATTCTGCATCCCTCTGAGCTCATTCTGCATCCCTCTGTGCTCATTCTGCATCCCTCTGTGCTCATTCTGCATCCCTCTGTGCTCATCTTATATCCCTCTGAGCTCATTCTGCATCCCTCTGTGCTCATGTTATATCCCTTAGCTCATTCTGCATCCTCTGTGCTCATCTTATATCCCTCTGAGCTCATTCTGCATCCCTCTGAGCTCATTCTGCATCCCTCTGTGCTCATTCTGCATCCCTCTGTGCTCATCTTATATCCCTTAGCTCATTCTGCATCCTCTGTGCTCATCTTATATCCCTCTGTGCTCATTCTGCATCCCTCTGTGCTCATTTTATATCCCTCAGCTCTAACTGCATCCCTCTGTGCTCATTCTGCATCCCTCTGAGCTCATTCTGCATCCCTCTGTGCTCATTCTGCATCCCTCTGTGCTCATTTTATATCCCTCAGCTCTAACTGCATCCCTCTGTGCTCCTTATCCTTATAAATCATGACGATCCCTCTCACATCTGATGCAGTTTCAGAATAAGTTTGTGTGTAACGTCACAGTGAACGACGGCAGTTCGCGGTGACGTTACACCGATAAAGACCGATAACTGCCCGGTCAGTCTCGCGAGCTGATGAAGCTTCACCATGGGAACGGAGCCGCGGGGACAAAAGGCTCGCGGCTCCACCGACACACAAAACGACCACAACACTCATGAGTCAGTGAGAAAAACGTTTAAAAAGTCGTTTCACACAAACCGAACAGCAGCTACGTCACTAACGGATATATCTGCCTGTCCGGTAACTACAAGAAGTTCACTGTAAATGTTAGTTACGTTAGTTTTAGTTTTAGGTTTAATCTTACCGCGGGAAAAGTTCTCCCCCTCCCCCTCCTCCTCCCTCCGGTCCTCTCCGGTAAAACTTCACGTTTCCTCCATCAAAGAGTCTCTGAGCTCCGGACAGTCCGCCGCTAAACCTCCGACATGAACCGAGAGTAACGGAGCAGGCGGGCACCGACTGACCGACAACCGTCAACTGAAGCTACGGCTTATGTACGAGGAAAGACTTCCGGTCAGACCTTTCACAATAAAGGCGCAAATAACTGCGCATATTCCTCTGTTGATGTTGTTAATAGTAATATATTTAATTTGATTCACTCTTTGTGTGATTTTGTCATTTTGAACTAATCATTATGTTATTTAATTAATTGAAATTAATACTCGTAAGTTTCTCATTCAAACACTTTCTGCATTTTCATATAATTAACACAAAATAAAAGTCCTTTCCATGAATGTAGGGTTGTATCTGTTCCATTCTATGAAATAACAGGAAACTGTGAAACCTGCAAAATAAAGTGTTATTAAACAAAACAGCCTCAGAAAAAAGGTTTGTTATTCCATCATTGATACTAATGAGCTGTTCACTGACACAGCACAACACGCCCTTTTCTTTACTCTGAGTAAAGAAAGAAACAGACAAATTCAAATCATGAAGGGTTCATTAATAACAAGGTAAATCCTTCCCAGGTGGCATTTTTAGGTGAAGCTTTTATTTTGAATAAATGTAAGTTTCCGGCCTCACACTGTGTCACTTCTGTATCTTGTCGATTCTGTGAAAGTAAGAGCGAATAAATGACGGTGCAGTATGTAGTGGAGCCGCTGGAGGGCGCTGCCACACAGACAGGAGAATATTACACACAGACTCTGTGTAATATTCTCATGTCGTTTTTTACAGTTTTTTTAAAAAAAATTGAAATATATTATTATATTATATTATATTAATATTTATATTTTTGAATTTTTTGTAGTTTTTTTTTATGTTTTTGTATTTTTTTTGTATTTTTGATTTTTTTTTTTGATTTTTTTTTTGTATTTTTGAATTTTTTGGTATTTTCGATATTTTCTTTGTCACTAAAAACTAAATCCTTCAGTTACTGTCCTTTATTTTTTCAGGTTGGAAACTAAGAACAAAAACTGCTGGACATGTAGTACAGAGATTTTTAGCCAATGACATTTACATGTACAGTACTTTTGAAGCACTTTAAACTAAAGTACTCTGTTTGGTACAATGTGTTATTGTGTTTAAATAAATGATCTTCTGTCTGTTCACTGTCTGTCTGCAGAAACCTCTACATGACTCCATTAACAGTGTTTGGTTAAATAATCAGATGACAGAAGCGTCTCTTATTGATTAATCTGTGAGTAAAGTGTCTCCACTGACGTCATGTGACTCAGCATCATGTCACATCACTGTTATAAAACTGTGAGGCTGGTTCTGATTATTAACTTGTATAAGATCTGATATGACCTGGATCCAGACTGTCTGTCTCTGCCTGGTTCTGTCAGACCTGAGCTCAGGCCTCTCAGATCTCTGTTGATGGTTTCAGATGTGAACTGGCTTAAAGTTCAGACATCAACACTGAGTCTCTTTAAAGAATTTCATGTTGTTTTTCAATGATGAGTTTGTGTCTCCTGGGAAAAAAGGTCAAATCAGAGTTTAAACATTACATTAATGTACTGTGGTTTATATAAGAACAGATTTTATCATCATCATCATTATTATTATTATTATTATTATTGGTAGTAGTAGTAGTAGTAGTAGTACTGCTGCATCAACATGAATGGACTTTTATCAAAAAGTTTATTTTACCAAAGATTTCAATATTTCCTGCAGCACTTGAAGGTAGCAGCAGGGCCCGCCCGCCTCTCTTCCCTCAGATGAGCAGAGCTGAGCTGTGATTGGTGGAGAGCTGAAGTCGGCAGGGGGTGGAGCTCGGAGGAAGAAAGCTGAGCAGGAAACAACGTGAATTAGGAGCGTGAAGACTGTAAAGACGATCCACAGGTCCGGACTATCACACACGTTTACCTGCGACAGGTGAGTTCACGTCCTGTTAGAAATCTGTGACAGCATCAGCGTCAGTGTGGAGCAGCAGCACGAGCTGAGGAGACTCTTCCACAGCCGAGGAACAAAGACTCTCACAGTGTTTCCTCCACACACCAGCTGATGCTAGTGAGCAGAGACACTGTCCGGCAGAGTCAGGACAGGTGAACACAGGTGAACATTCAAGACTCCAGGATAAATTAAAAAACATCGTAAGAAGCTTTACTTTGAAGGAAATGGCTGTTTTCACTGGGATCCTGAAGTAACACGTTACTTTACTTTGGTGTAAATTAAACCCAGAGTAAAATACTTTCAAGTTACTTCAGTAAACTTAAAGTAGTGCAGGCCAACACTTTATATCCACTCACAGTCACATTTACTTTAAATTTAAAGTGTGTGTGTGTGTGTGTGTGTGTGTGTGTGGAGATGGGGGGTCAGGTGTCGTCAGTGGAGGGGGTCCATGTGGTGGTGGTCGGCGGCGGGTTCGGGGGCATCGCGGCCGCTCAGCAGCTGAAGTCTGAGGGACTGAGCTTCACTCTGATCGACCTGAGAGACGCCTTTCATCACAACGTGGCGGCGCTGCGAGCCTCCGTGCAGCCCGGTAACTTCAACTCTTTATTTACCAAAAGTAAATTTACTTTTTTTTTTTTTTTAATCATAATTTAATTTTTTGAATTTAATTTTTTTCCCTTTTTTTTAGTCTTTTATTTTCAGGAAAATCAGGTTTAATAATGAGTGTAGTTGATTTTTTCTACATGCAGGTAAATCAATATTACTTTTTTCATACAAATTTTGAGGCAAAAATATTTATTCTTGTTTTTTATTATTTAGAAATTTTAGAATTTTTTGTTTTAGTTTAGCATTTTTTTTTAAGTAGGACCTATGTTTTAGCATTTGTTTTTATTTTCTATATTCTTATGTTTTTTTCTGTTGCTTATAAAAATATTTGAAGTCTTGTTGTTGTCACAGTGATCTCCAGCAACAACCCTGACAGTGTTAACAACACTATATGACCTTTGACCTGTGTCCTGTCTGCAGGCTTCGCTCAGAGGACCTTCATCCCCTACGCTGAGACGTTTGGAGACAGTTTTGTTCAGGGCCGAGTGGAGAGAGTGGACACCGAGAGACAGACAGTCATCCTGCAGGGAGGGAGGGTGAGGAGCTGCTAGGCTAACAGCTTCCCCCCGCTTCCAGTCTTTGTGCTAAGCTAAGCTAACTGTTCTTGTCACTGTTCCTGCAGGAGGTCCAGTACTCCCACCTCATCCTGTGTACTGGGACTGACGGTCCGTTCCCCGGGAAGTTCAACACGTTGGCGTCTTATCAGACCGCCGTCCAGACGTATGAGGACTTCGTCAAACAGGTACGATGATGGGACGGATACTGGGAGAGACAGGTCATCACTGTACTCAGCTGTGTGTGTGTGTGTGTGTGTGTAGGTCCAGGCTGCAGACTCTGTGTTGGTTGTGGGAGGGGGGTCGACCGGCGTGGAGATGGCTGCTGAGATTAAGACGGAGTATCCAGACAAGAAGGTGATGACCCCTGACCTCTGACCCCTTTTGGTGATAAAGTGTATTCCGGTGTTTGCCACGCAGATGTAATTTAAAAGGATCTTACACTGTTTCTGGTCCTGATCCTCCTCGGCTCAGAGACCTGGTCCTGGTCTAAAGCCCCCCCTCTTGTTCAGGTGGTTCTGATCCACTCCAGGATCGGACTGGCCGACCCGGAGCTGCTGCCCAGCGTCCGACAGCAGGCCAAAGAGGTTCTGCTGGAGAAGGGAGTGGAGCTGCGGCTGGGTATGTACACCTGTTCACACTGCAGACAGGTGGCCAGGCTCAGACCAGGTCAGGCTCAGACCAGATTCTGGTTGTGGTGTTTTGCAGGACAGAAGGTGGCGGCTCTGTCTGAGCTGCAGCTGAACGTCACTCAGAGGAACATGGAGGTCTCCACAGAGCGAGGAGAGACTCTGACCACAGACCTGATCGTCTGCTGCACCGGACTCAAGGTCAACTCTGCCGCATACGCCTCCAGCTTCTGTGAGCGCACACACACACACACACACACACACACACACACACGTTTTGTGAGGTCACAGTGACCTTTGACCTCCAAAGTCTAGTGGAATAACAACAGTGACACTTGTTTGTTCCTCATTCAGCTGAATGAGTGTTGGGCAGGTAAAGGTGAGGTCAACAGAAATGTCTGAGGTCAAAGGTTGGAGCTGACCCTGTGTGTGTTCCTGTGACAGCTGACTGTCTGACCGACAGCGGAGCTCTGAAGGTCAACCAGCACCTGCAGATCCAAGGTTTCTCCAACATCTTTGCCGTGGGCGACTGTGCCAACGTCAAAGAGCCCAAGATGGCGTACCACGCCGGACTGCATGCCGCCGTCGCCGTTAGCAACATCACTAACAGTCTGAGAGGGAAGGAGCTGACGTCCTATCACACAGGTACACACACACACCTGTCTGTGTTCTTAGTGACCTGGTGGAGCTGCTGGTTGGCCAGTTGACTGATGATGCCTCTGCTGGTTGCTAGGTAACATCACCATGTTGCTGGCGATGGGCCGAAACGACGGCGTGGGTCAGTTCAACGGACTGAAGCTTCCACGAAGTGTCGTCGCTCTGGGGAAGAGTCGAGATCTGCTGCTGTGGAAGAGCTGGAGGGAGATGAAGCAGACACAACCCTGACACACACACACACACACTCACTCACACACACACACTCTCACACACTCTCACTCTCACACTCACACTCACACTCACACACTCACTCACTCACACACACACACTCTCACACACACACTCACACACACACACACACACACACTCACACACACACACACACACACACTCTCACACACTCTCACTCTCTGAACAATGTTTACTGTGACACACACACACGAACAACTCCACAAACACCACATCAACACACACACACTCACACTCTTCTTCTGAACAATGTTTACTGTGAAATCAGCAGCTGACTTCAGTGATCATGTGACCTCAGTTTAAACTACAAACACATTTTACTGTCATGTGAGCTTTTATTTTGAAGTTTAACCGATTGAACTTTGTCCTTTTTCATGAACACACAAATGTTATTGGTCAGAATCTGTAAACACTGTTCTTTAAAGTGAAGCTTTAAACTTCTCATATTCCTCTGGTTTCACTTCCTGGTCTGGAGTTACAGTTCATCAGTTAAATGTTTGTGCCAATAAAGTTTCAGCTTGAAAAACACATTTAAAAACTGCATCTTTATTTTTTTCAACAACCAATAAAATATTAAAACCTGAAGATGTTCAAATGTTTTCACTCAGAAAATCTGTCGTCGTCATTTCTCTGCAGGTTCATATTAAAACACGTCGTCAGCTGATCAATAATCAACAACAGAAAAAAGTACAAAACCATAAATATTCACCGTGTGATTTACATGATATAAATAATCTGTCAGTGAAACATAAGAGACTCTTCCAGCAGCCAATCAGGCGCCATCATACGTCACATAAATAATCAATCAATAAATAAATATATAGATCAGAGACTTAAAGAGTTTCTGAAAATATGAAGAGAGTTTGTGAAACAATAAAAAAAAAAAGACGGAGGATCACGTGATCACGTCACATGTTCACGTGTGTAAACCAACATGGTTTGAAAATCTGGACTCGCAGCAGAAACTTCTCATGTCTGGATTAATGAAGATGAAATTAGTCAATCAATAGCTGATCAATAGAATTTAACAATCTGATAATTGATTAAAAAACATTTGATTTGTTTGTTTTTGTTTCATCTGATGAAAACTGACGATTTACAGACAGAAGAAAAAAAATATTCAGATGAATCAATAGTATGAATCAGTTTCAGCTGCTGTGTGATCAGACTGATTGATTTATGATCGTTAGGGATCAATTACTTCATATTGGTATAAAGTCAATATCACCGGGGTGAACGGGGTGCAGTCTGGCCGTTGGGACAGTGAACGCCTCATCAGATCTAATCTGCTCGGATTAGAAACTCAGACATGAGTCAGTTTCTGCTGCAGCATCAGCTCCTCTGATTGGCTCCTCACTGACAGGAGGAGGTGAAACCAGTCAAACCAGTGTGAGGAGGCTGGGAGGGGCCGGTTTCATCAGCCTGCTGGAACGTGACGGGTGGAGACGAACACTGAACTCAGACGCCCAGAGACTCCAGACCTGAACATCAAACCGGTTCAACTGGAGTTCATGTCCTGATCCACTTCAGTCCGGTTCAGAGTGAGAGACGCTTTCATGTGACGGTCGACTGAATGAAAAACACACGACAAAAAACTAAATCTGTTAAACTCGGTCCAGACCGGATCCGGATCCAGATCCAGACTCAGAGCTGGACTCAGGTGGTCTCAGCTTATCGTCTCTGGTGTGAAACATCAGACGAAGGTTCTGGTCTCGTCGTCAGTCTCCAGACCGTCTAGTCCTAGTCCGTCTTGCTGGTCTTGGCCTCGGCGCCGCGGCGCCTCAGGTAGGTCTGGTAGAAGAAGTTGGAGAAGAGCAGCAGGTAGCTGAGGTACATGAGCGCTGCCCAGGCGATGTTGTCGATGTGGGAGGGGCAGTCCCCCGCCTGCATCCAGCGGTACACCAGCCCGCTCACCGTCAGCCCCATGGCCATCTGGGAGATCTGAGCGCTGGTGATGAGCACGGCGAAGGGGCGGGGCACGCGCAGGCCGGCGGCGCGCAGAGCGTAGTAGCTGTACATGAGTGCGTGCACGGCGTAGTTCATGGTCATGAACCAGCCGCCGCCGGCCACCATGTCTTTGTAGGAGTACCAGGAGTACAGCAGCACGGTGATGTGGTGGTACCAGTGCAGGAACAGCAGCTTCTGCTTCCTCAGCACGACGAACGCCGTGTCGCCTGGAGACCACAGACAACAGGAAGTTCATCAACAACAACAGATAATTCATCAGTCGCGCCACGTGTGTGTGTGTGTGTGTGTGTGTGTGTGTGTGTGTGTGTGTGTGTGTGTGTGTGTGTGTGTGTGTACTGACCCAGCTCTGGAGCTTTGCTCAGGACGAAGGCGTAGGCCCAGAACTTGCTGACCGGGCCGCTGTAGAAGCTCTGGTCACAGATGGACTGTCTGAAGCCGCTGCTGCTCAGGATGTGGATCATGTAGGATCCGGTCCGGACCGCACCCACGATACTGGACCGACAGAGACCAGGAGAGAACACATGAGACCACAGAACCAGACGTGATGTGAAGCAGCATCTCAGATCTGCTGCGATCAGCTGATCAGAAACAATCAACAACAGTTTTAATACTGAATCAGTTTAGTTGAATGTTGCAGCTGCTCAGAGTCCGATTGTTTTTCTTCATCTTATTATTTCACATCTTTTTCAGACGATTTGAAAAGTCTAACTTTCCATTAAACCAACGATTCAGTCACAACCACCGACTGCTTCTGTTGTCAACGACGACCAGACAACTCATCTGATCTCACACCACACCACACACACACACACACACACACACACACACACACACACACACACACACACACACACACACACACACACACACACACACACACACACACACACACACCTGATCTATCTTACTGATCTGCTCAGTCAGCGCTCGTCGACCAATCACAGATCAGGAGGAAACTGTCAAAACCACAACTCAGATACGAGCTCTAACTACAGCTGGTTACCATGGAGACAGTGTGTTGTTAGTACATTGGTCATGGAAACTGGTTATTTAACGTCAGAGAGCACTAAAGCAGCAGATCACTGTTACCATAGAGACCGAGGCGGTTAAAGTTTGTGTTTATCAAGGGGGAGGAGGAGGCAACGTTGTCGCCATGGAAACGCCTTCATTTGAAACTGAGAAAATAGTTCAGCTGAACGACCTGAGGATGATGATGATGAAGAGTCAGACAGGAGAGTGTTACCTGAAGAGAGCGAGGCTCAGCGACCAGAGGACGAGCGGCCGCCGCAGGTTCATCTTGGGTCGAGGCTTCATGTAGTGCTGACCTCCGAACACCAGGGCGGCATAGAGAGCGCTGAACACAAACGACTTACTCCTGTGGACAGAGAGAGAGACAGAGAGAGACAGAGAGAGACAGAGAGAGAGAGAGACAGAGAGAGAGAGACAGAGAGAGAGACACAGAGAGAGAGAGAGAGACAGAGAGACAGAGAGAGAGAGAGACAGAGAGAGAGAGAGAGAGAGACAGAGAGAGAGAGAGAGAGAGAGAGACACAGAGAGACAGAGAGAGAGAGAGAGAGAGAGAGACAGAGAGAGAGAGAGAGAGAGAGAGAGAGAGAGACACAGAGAGAGAGAGACATGCAGGGACACAGGGTTACTGATGGACAAATGGTCACATTAATACAAGTGTCTGATGAAGAGAATAAAGAAGGACAGTATCAGCTGACGTCACACCTCTGTTGTGTTTACTGACCGGACACAACACGACAGACTCACACCAACTTTATTTACTTCACTCCTGTAAATTCACCCTCAGGTTTCAAACACTTCCTCTTCTGGAGTTGAACTCCTCCCCTCATTAACTCACAGGAATAAAAGCTCTTCATCTCTGGATAAAGAAATAATAAACAAGTTGTGAAATAAAGAAACTAAGTAGAAACTGTTGAACAGACTCAATCTGACACTTTTACTTCTTTAATATTTTCATCAACACATTCACACTGAGCTGTGGTCCAGGCTGTAGCCACAGTCACTCTGTTGCTCAGCAACAACGAACAACAAACTACATTTTTCTGTTGAACAGGTCAAACCACCTGTGACATCATCACTAAACACCTGAGGCCTGACTGTGACTCTCATTCACCATCAGCTGTTAAATCACTGTTTCCTCTCCACCTGGATTTATAATTCTGTCAAAGTAAAAGACTGTTATTGTTACTGGTGACATGAATAAAGATGTTATTGTCACAGGTGTGAAGTGCCAATAGAAACTCATCAGGAACATTACCGGGATTTTTGCATCAGCAGGTTTATCACATATTTTAATATTTCATCGTTGATCAGATGTGGGCGGGGCTGAGTGGAAATCTACCTGGAATGACCGGATCTGAAGTAAATACTAAATACCACAAATATTCAGGTGTGACATCACTCCCCAGTGACTCACCTGTGATACACCTGTACTGTCCGCACTGTGCACACTTGTGTAAGGCTCTGGCACATTCCTTTTAGCTCTTTGTAATCCCGAGAACACGTAACGTTACGCGTTTTCCAAGAATCTGTGCTGCTCCGAAAGCTTCACCAAACCCCCTTCAGAAATCACTAGTTTTAAGGTTTACAGCGGATCTGTACATTACCTGAACGTCAGACACACACAGTCACTTACTTTTCTAGAGAGACAATGAGCTTATCTGTTCGGCACAAAACAAAACAAAAATAAAACCTCTTCATTCCAACAAACCAGCAGATAATTGGAGGGATATGACGGTGTCCCCTGCCTCCCTGGCCGCTCTCTGCGGGTTGGCTGTGGAGCACTTTGGTATCGAGCAGACCGGTTAAGGTGGAACTATGTTCCAATGAGAGGTGGTTGATGGACTGTATCTATGCCGAAACAAAGCCCAGAGCCAAGACATCGAAACAGCTTCTTACACACTTTAAACAGTGAGGACTTTTTTCCCGGGAAGAGGTTAAATCAAAAATAACGATGTTTTTCAACGGATTTCGGCGCGCAGCGTCTCCAGCTCAGAGACCGAGGTTCATCTGAATGTTTCTACTAAACGAGACCGTGTCAGAGGATCAAACCTCAGAGGAAACACCTGAGTCACCTGGAGGTCTAAATACAGTGTGTTAGCTCACCAGTTAGCCTGCATCCACTCTATGGCTCCTCTCTCGTCGAAGCGCCGCTCGAAGCTGTACTCCGACAGCGGGAGGTGGAAGTCCGTCCCGTTCACCTGCAGCATGATCGATATCAGCTGTTATTGATTAATGTGATGAAACAAATGAATCCAGAGGACACGGCTCAGTCTGCAGCTCCTGTCTCTCCTCCTACTGTCTGCTGCTTCACCTTTTCCCTCCTTATTAAAGCCTCATCAGGGGGCGGGGCCTCGAGGACACACCTTCTTTCATTCATAATTTCACTGATCACATTTTTTTAAATAACTGAACAGACTGGATAACCAGGAACAACAGATATCAAAGTTCATACATTTAAAGATTAAGTTTTTCACAAAGAAACAAGTTTAAACATCTTTAAAAAAACACATCAAGTCTAATTATATTTGGGGTCAAATGTAAAGAACCAGAGCGGTTTACACATGACAGCAGCCGGCAGTAAAACACCTGCAGGACTTTTATTAGTCACATATTTTTCCTTCTTTTACTTTATTAAAACATCTTAAATCTCCTGCTGTCATCACAGAACAGACTGAAGAACAGAGTGTGACTGTGTTTAATCTGAACCTTCAGTTTGTTCCAGGTCACAGTCGATTATCAGCCTCTCACTGTTTGTATCAGTCTGACTGTGACTGACGACGGTTACTACAGGTTCAGTTACTGCTTCACCACGTCACATGTTTCACTGCACAGCCTTTATCTGACAGCTGCTGATGACTTTTCAAATTAAGAGTTTATATAATAAAAATGTCTTGGTAAGTTTTTAAATATGGTTCATGTTTAGATCAAACCAGTGGTTTAGTCGTGTCTCTGTCTCCCACAAAAGTTTCTATAAACTGCAATGAAGTTTTCTATTAATATGGTTTAATAATGTAAAAGTCTCAGTCTCAGACTCAGTCTCTGTCTCAGTCTCTGTCTCAGTCTCTGTCTCAGTCTCAGATTCAGTCTCAGACTCAGTCTCTGTCTCAGTCTCAGATTCAGTCTCAGACTCAGTCTCAGACTCAGTCTCAGATTCAGTCTCAGATTCAGTTTCAGTCTCAGTCTCTGTCTCAGTCTCAGATTCAGTCTCTGTCTCAGTCTCTGTCTCAGTCTCAGTCTCTGTCTCTGTCTCAGATTCAGTCTCAGACTCAGTCTCTGTCTCAGTCTCTGTCTCAGTCTCTGTCTCAGTCTCAGATTCAGTCTCAGACTCAGTCTCTGTCTCAGTCTCAGTCTCAGTCTCAGTCTCAGACTCAGTCTTAGTGTAATCTCAGTCTCAGTCTCTGTCTCAGACTCAGACTCAGTTTTAGTGTAATCTCAGTCTCAGTCTCAGTCTCAGACTCAGTCTTAGTGTAATCTCAGTCTCAGTCTCTGTCTCAGTCTCAGACTCAGACTCAGTTTTAGTGTAATCTCAGTCTCAGTCTCAGTCTCAGTCTCAGACTCAGTCTTAGTGTAATCTCAGTCTCAGTCTCTGTCTCAGTCTCAGACTCAGACTCAGACTCAGTCTCTGTCTCAGTCTCAGTCTCAGACTCAGTCTCAGTCTCAGACTCAGACTCAGTCTCTGTCTCAGTCTCAGTCTCAGACTCAGTCTCAGACTCAGACTCAGTCTCTGTCTCAGTCTCAGTCTCAGACTCAGTCTCAGACTCAGTCTTAGTGTAATCTCAGTCTCAGTCTCTGTCTCAGTCTCAGACTCAGTCTCTGTCTCAGTCTCAGATTCAGTCTCAGATTCAGACTCAGTCTCAGACTCAGTCTCAGACTCAGTCTTAGTGTAATCTCAGTCTCAGACTCAGACTCAGTCTCAGACTCAGTCTTAGTCTGTCTCAGTCTCAGTCTCAGACTCAGTCTCAGACTCAGTCTTAGTGTAATCTCAGTCTCAGTCTCTGTCTCAGTCTCAGACTCAGTCTCTGTCTCAGTCTCAGTCTCAGACTCAGACTCAGTCTCAGTCTCAGACTCAGACTCAGTCTCTGTCTCAGTCTCAGTCTCAGACTCAGTCTCAGACTCAGACTCAGTCTCTGTCTCAGTCTCAGTCTCAGACTCAGTCTCAGTCTCAGACTCAGTCTTAGTGTAATCTCAGTCTCTGTCTCTGTCTCAGTCTCAGACTCAGACTCAGACTCAGACTCAGTCTCAGACTCAGACTCAGTTTTAGTGTAATCTCAGTCTCAGATTCAGTCTCAGACTCAGACTCAGTCTCAGACTCAGACTCAGTCTTAGTGTAATCTCAGTCTCAGTCTGGGTGGAGATCAGAGTCTCTGATTGTTTCTGTGACTGAAGAGAAACTGAAGCAGCAGAACTACCAGGTTCATGTGTGTGTGTCCAGGAGACAACCTGACGCCTCCTCCTCCTGTGTGTGTGTGTGTGTGTGTTCATTCATTCATTTCTAGGGTTCATCCTGTCACAGAGTCACCCTCAACAGAATATAGATCTGAACATATGTTCTCATGTTATTGTTTTCATCTGTTTTTCCCTCTTTCCTTAAATGTTTTTATCTATACCCTGGACAGGTCGCCAGTCCATCGCAGGGCAAACACACAGAGACAGACAACCATTCACTCTCACAGCCACACCACGGTCATTTTAGAGTCTCCAATCATTCAATTGATATTATCATATCAATTATTATTATTATTATTGTTGTTGTTGTTGTTAGTATTATTATTATTAATAACCTATTATTGAGTGTTTTAAATCAACTTATTTCCAGTCTGCTTGGACTATAAACTGTGTGTTGATCTATTTTAAGACATTAACAGTAAAGTATAATTATTATTGATTAGACAGATTATTGATTTATAGTCAGCGTTTCATTTGTCACAGTGAGATGATTTTAAAAGTGACGATCAATATCTGGTTACAGTCCAGCAGACAGTCAGTAATGTGTGTGTGTGTGTGTGCGTGTGCGCGTGCACGCGTGCGTGTTCATTTTCTGGTCGGTCCGGTCTGACGTTTCTTTACGTCGCCGTTACGTCACCTAAACGATGCGGAAGTGGAAGTCACCGTAGAGAACGTAAACTAATGTCAAGCAATCGCGAAAAAAATAAGGAGAAGAGCCGCAGAAGAGAGAGGAGAAGAAGAAGAGAAGCGGCGGGAGGTGACCACACTCTCCGTCTCCGGCGGCACTTTCACGGCTACCGGCATGTAACGTAACTTAGCTAGCCGTTACTGTGACTACTCCGTCGGCTCTCCGTTACGTCTGCCCTCCCCGCGACCGTCGGTTCGGTCGTTACCCCCGCCGTCACCGCTGAATGGACCGGCCGGTGACTCAGAGTCCACGCCGGTGCTGCTGTTCGGTCGCATGGGTCTCTGAAAGCTGCAAACCCCGCTACATCCCATTCTCCCTGGAAGGTAAGTGAACGCTCCCCGAAATCCCTTTGAAAAACAAGCGGTCTTAAGATTTCTTCAGGTTTTAACTCAATCAGACTCGCGCCTGAACAAAAGTGAAAGTGTTTCCGGATTCAGGACCAGATCTTCATTAACTCGGCGTCCACATCACTCCGGTAAACCAGCGCTTCCTTTGGTGAAATCTCCACTTCCACAAGCCTCCGTCTGGAAACGGCTGTCTGTTCAAACGACGGTCCACCCCGCGGAGAGGTGCCAACGGCGCCGCGAGTCTCTTGGAAAAGTCCACGACCCAGCGAAGGCGGTTCTTCTGGGTCCAATATGCACCAGCCGAACTGTGGAGTGTCTCCTCGTGGTTTATTCAAGGCTTTAAAACACAGCAGCTCGGTGTTTTCTGCGGATAGGCACAAAGAGGAGCGTTAAACCGAGTCGTTGTTGAAAGGAGTTCAGGGGAGAGCAGCGGCTGGAGCCGGAGAAAGAGGCAGAAACGCACCCGACAGGAGAGACCCGGGCTCCGGGGGAAAGTGCGTATAAACCTGTTCCATGTTTTTATGTTTGTTTCATGGATCAAAACCTGGAGATAATTAACAAATCGTCTGAAC